CCAAAGACTTTCAGCATATAAGATAGATGACGCCCGGTTAGCTGTACTACTCTGCCCTCCCCCACGCAGTTTTCAGGCAGAGATATTATTTTCCTGTGCTTAGATCTCCAGGTCTTCTCTTACCTCCAGTGGAGAAAAGGAGGGTCAGAGATGTTGAATAAACTGCTTAAAAATCACATGTAGAAAAGAGAGCAGAACTGGGGTCTGTGGTGGTTTCTGGGCATGCATGGGAACCAGACTCCAGCCGTCAGGGAGCCCCTGCCTCTTCTACCGGCCTCTCCCTCTAGAAGTAGTGCTCATGTTCCGCCCACGCTATAGAGTACCACACACTCAGGGGTGGGGAAGACAGGGCCCTGGTGTGAGGGCACCTGCACTCTCCCACCAAGGCCAAGATCTGGGGTCAGTGCTTCGCCTTCCAGAGGGCCTTCCTCGATCACTGTGATACTTCTGTACACTCATCATTGAGAAATGGCCCGTTATTAATGAGTAACCTCTGACAATTACTGAGCACTTACAATGTGCGAGTTTCAGTGGAAAAACTACACGGGCCATATCACTGAATCCTTCCAAGGAGCAGGATGCAGGCTCCATTATTTAGCCTCATTTTCTAGATGAAGAAACTGAGACACAGCAAAAGTTAACAAGTGATGCTAAAAGTCTCTGTGGAGAAGCCTCAGAACTGGAATAAAGACTAGTGATATAGCTCTTACTATGTGGCACTCTGGTCCTGCCACTGTTGTCCATGTCACTGTCTTGTCCCCTGACCCACTAGACAGCTCCTTAAGGTGAGCACCTTCTTCTCTCTCCGAGTCCCTGTAGTCTGAACTCAGAGCCACACACATCCATCAAGTCGAAATCACTTGTTTGGTGATTTAGTCTCTCCTTCCCAGACAAGATCTGGGGGTTGGGGTGGGGAGGAAATTCCACAAATCAGCTGGACCTTCTTTACAGCTCTTGCTCTCCATCAAGTGAGCATAGGAATCAAATCTGCAAAGAAATCTTCCCCAGGGAATCTTTTTCATCCCTGTATTTTGCTTGCCCAGCATGGTGCATGGCACATAATAGGGTCCCATACATCTTTGTTGAATGGCTGTGAGCATGAGCTTTCAAATCCTGAGGATACTGCTGGGGCCAGGGTGGCTGTCGGAGTCTCAGGCCATATTTCCTGCTGTGTGTACACAGCAAGTCCTGGGTCTCATTCTGCATCCACTAAAGGCTGGAGCCTTCCTAATACTGAGAGGCTGCTCCTGCAAATTTAGGATTCCTCTCCACCTGCTGCTCCGTGGGATTCCAGCTGTCCCAGACCAAGGTATCCCCTGCTATGGAGACACCCAGTGCACCCCTCTCTCCCCCAAGCCGTATGCCAGTTCAGTGCTGCATTCGCTGCACTCCCCGCTGGGAGACATTTGGATTGTTTTTTATGCAGGACTAGGAAGATGAACCCAGTTGATCCCTAGATCTCGCCTTCTTGATCATCTATCTTCAGTGATTTTTTTTCAGCTGAAAAACCTCATAGAAGCTGTTTATAGCATCCATAACCTTCATGGAGCTTTTAAACCTCTTTTTTTCATGGCTTTTTATGAGTCGAGATAAACAAACATGGCTCTTTCTCCAGGGACTTGGGGCTCCAGATCCTTAACCTCACTCCTGAAACCCAGGGCCCTGAGGGAATAGAATCAGAGCCAAGGCCCGGAAGGACTGTGGTTAAATGAGTCATGCGGAGGTTATATCTTCCCTGCTTAGGTGGGCGAGGAGTAGGACTCCAAGCAAAGGTGGGCCAGAGGCAGACAGTGGGACTGGCAGTTCCTGCTAGGCAGGGAAGAAGAGGGTATGTGTGGCTCTTGGGACCACCTCACCCAACCACTCATTCAACACTAAAGAAACTTAAGTCCCACGAGGGAAGTTAATATGCCCATGGGTGTGCAGCCTCAGGTGGTGGAGGGGGATCAGCCTCCCTGTAGCAGCTACTTTGTCTCATTGGACATTAGTCCCTTTAGAGGAATCTGCTTTCCCCCAATGTGAACTTGGCCAACCTAAGTAGCATTTTATCTTTCTGGCCAAAGTGACTGGTTTAGGAGTACCCTAGCACCTAAAGATGTTTTGACCTCAGAGAATCCCTAAACCTTTAAGGACAATCCTGGGAAATAGCAATACTTTTTCACCTGGGATACAAATGGAAAAATACCAGCCATTCATCAGCTGAGGCCAGGCATCTTGTGATGCACCTTATGGTGGAGGCTTTATGGGCAGCAGAGAGGAGAGATGGAAGACGAAGGATTCCTAGTTGATAGTTCTGAGTTGTTGGATTAAGCCTCACCTGAAGCCTTTACACTGAAATGTTCAGGTACATTATTCACGAAAGCCTGTTTGTAAGACAGACTTGGTGGTTTATTACTTGAAACCTCAATATTCCCAAGTGATCAAGAGACACCAGGAGAGCAGTGGCCTCAAAGCTCGCCTCTGTTCTTCATCCTCCTGCTGGCTAGGTATGCTGGGCCCAAAGGGAAGTTCTCTGTGTCTGACCATGTAGCTGGCTAGGCTGTAGATGCTCTTAAGGCTGAATGCAGTCTAGGGTTTAGAATCTCTAGTAGTTGGCATTTTCACCCTTGGTTCGTGGAGACAGGCTGGTTAATTCCTTGGGTCCAGAAAACATTTTTAGCTGGACGCAGTGATACATTCTTGTAATTCCAACAGTCTGGGAGGCTGAGGCAGGACAATTCCAAGTTGGAGCCTGCCTAGGCCACTTGAACTTAGCAAGATGCAAATTTAAAAAGGACTGAGGATGTAACTCAGTGCAAAGGCCCTGGTCCCCACTCCTGTGCAACAGACTGCCTTCTGCACTCTCTGTAGGGAGTTAGACCCCACTACCTTCTAACAACCTGCATCTGCAGCTGGCTCCTCTGTGTCCAAGAACCTGGTGAAGGTCAGATTTAAGTGTTCCTCACTTGGTACCCCTGCTCTGATGCATGGTATGTGCTCATGGGCACTTGTGGAGTGGAAGGAAGGATCCTTCTTTTGCCACTGCCTGCTCCGCTCTCTGATGTATTTTCAGTATAGTACACTTTTTTTTTTTGTGGTGGTGGTGATGGTACTGGGGATTGAACTCAGGACCTTGCACTTGCCAGACAAACACTTATTCTACTGAGCTATCTCCCCAGCCAGTCCATTTTCTTCCCTTTGGAAAATAGGATCAAGTTAAGAAGCGGTGGACGAGCTGCCCAAAGTCACAAGTTGGATCTGATCTGCTGCTGCAGTCCCATAGGGCTAAGCCTGGAGGAGACTGGACATATGCTCATCATTCAGTGCTGCTGCACGGGGAGCACTGGGCCAGGAGACAAGGGAGGGAGCGACCAGACAGGCTGAGTCAGAGAGCGCTAGGGATGGAACTGGAGCTTGTGGGGCTCATTCTGTCCAGACTTTCTTGGTGGGAGGAGAAGGCTCAGGGCCAGGGGGCACTGGTATCTCAAGGTCACCAGATATGCCATCTCGTATGAGAAAGAACTCTTTTACAAAGCTAGACCCTTCACAAGAGTTGAGCCCTCTGCAGCCACCAAGGCAACCGCAGGATGGGCAGCTAAAGAGGCAAACAGGCAGGCAGCTCCATCCAAGCCAGATTCTGGGGCTTGCTGCCTGTGGAGGTGGAGAAACTCCTTCTGCCACTTACCGATCAACTGCACTTGGAGTCCCCTGGTTTGTGAGTCCTTGGGGATCAGAGAAGTGATTCACAGAGCACTTAGTACATCGCTGGCACTGGGCAAAGAGGGGCTTGTGACTCAGGAATCACTCACCGCGCTGCTGATTAACCCTGAAGCTAATTCAAAGCCTCCTTCCTGTGTCTTCAGCTATTTGGCTGCCGGAGCTCGGACCTTCCCTTGGCTCTGCCACTACTGAGCAATGCCCCTCGGTCTCCACCTGCCCCCCCAGTCCGCAGCAGGTCTGGGGCCGGGAGTCTTGGAGGTTCCTCTCACACCCCTCTCTGCCCTGACTTCATTCTATTTGGAAGGCAGGCTCTCAGGGCCCCTCTTTTGGCATTTGAGCGGACCCGCCCTCGCTCCAAGGTCCCCTGATTTTCTGGTCCGCGTCTGTTTCTCCGCCAGCGGAATTAGGCCGTCTTCCTTCCATGCAGCCTAAAGCCCATTTCCACTCTGGTCCAGGGGTGTCTTTTGGCTCCAATCTGCCCCAACGCTCTCCCTTCCCTCCTCCTCCTTCCTCCCTCTGCTCCGCCCCCGGCCCCGCCCTCTGCCCCCAGCCGGGGTCCCCAGCCGCTCCGCGATTGCCCACCTCCGACCCTGGGGACTGAGGGCTGTGGGACCTGCCGGCCCGCGCCCCTCCTTCCAGCTTCTCCCGGCTCCGGGTCCCCGCGCGCGCCCGCCCGCGCCTGCTCCTGGCCTCGCCGCTCCCGCCTCCCGCCGTCCCCTCCTCCTGGTGACGTCCGGGTCCCTGCCCGTCTGAAAACTCCGCGCCGCGGCGGTGGAGGCGGCGGCGGCGGCTGCGAAGGAGGAGGAGGAGGAGGAGGAGCAGCGGC